TTTGCAGTAAGAACTATTGCATGTGAGGTTTCTTTTGAGAAATCAGTTTATAATCCTAAGGGAACGCCTTTGTAGGTAAATGTCTCCTTTTGTCTTGCTGCTTTTAAGATTCTCTCCTTATCTTTAATCTTGGGTAATTTAATTATAATGTGTCTTGGCCTGTTCCTCCATGGGTCCAACTTCTTTGGGACTCTCTGTGCTTCCTGGACTTTCATGTCTATTTCCTTTGCCAGTTGGGGAAGTCTTCCCTCATTATTTTTTCAAGTAAGTTTTCAATCTCGTGGTCTTCCTCTTCACCTTCTGGCACCACTATGATTTGAATGTTGGAACGTTTAAAGTTGTCCCAGAGGTTCCTAAGCCTCTCCTCATTTTTTGAATTCGTGTTTCTTCATTCTGTTCCAGCTGAATATTTACTTTTTCATTTTGTTCCAAATCATTGATTTGAGTCCTGGTTTCCTTCCCTTCACTGTTGGTTCCCTTTATATTTTTCTTCATTTCACTTTGTATAGCCTTCACTTCTTCCTTTATTTTATGGCTATACTCAATCACTTCTGTGAGCACCCTGATTACCACTGTTTTGAACTCTGCATCTGATAGCTTGGCTTTCTCCTCTTTGTTTAGTCCTTTTTCTGGAGCTTTCATCTGCTCTTTCATTTGGGCCATATTTCTTTGTCTCAGTGCACTTGTTATGCTGTAAGGGGAGGAGGCTTAGGTATTCACCAAGGCAGGGTAACCCACTTCGCTGCGTTCTGGTGCTGTATTTGGGGGAGGAGTCAGAGAAGGAACAATGCCACTTGTTTAGCTCTCACCCTACTTTCAGTCTCTTCCCCCACTACCCACAAGTTAATTGCACCCTTCTGGTGCTGACTCCCAGGTGGGTGGGTTTGTGTATGTTCTAGGACCCTGTGGGTCCCTCCAGTGGACTCTCCTGTGAGGCCGGGAGTTTCTCCTGCCACCACAACCCCCGCAGATTTTTATAGCCAGAGGTTTTGAGGCTTTATTTCTGCTCCAGAACCCTGGGTATCACCAGCTGTTCCTTCTGGTTTACTTGTGAATGTGGCACTGCCTGGTCCATTAGCCCCACCTTGCCTTGCATGCTCTCTGCCCTGGCTGCCCATCTCTGCCCCTCCTACCGGTCTGGAGGAACATTTCTTTAACTCCTTGGTTATCAGACCTCTGTACAGTTCGGTTTTCTGGCATTTTTTGTTGTTTTTTTGTTTTTAAATTGGTTGTTATCCTTCTTTTGGTTGTGTGAGGGAGTGAAGCGTATCTACCTATGCCTCCATCTTGGCCAGAAGCCCTAAATGTCCCATTAAATATATTTTAGAATAAAATAATAAAATAAATATTATAATACCAAATATGAAAAACGAATACTTTAGCCATTTTTAACTATATTAATCCTCTTTTTAAGAAAAGGTGGACAAATCATACATACGTATTGGTTTGTCATAATAATGAATATTAGTTAATTAGATAAATTCCCCAAATTATCAATAACTTTGTAAAAACTTATATTCTTCACATACGCAAATGCCATACAAGATTGCCTGATTTTTCAAGTTTGACTCATAACTGGTTAAAGAAAATGTTTTATTAATTTTAATTACAGAAGTTTTTAAAATGAAAACAGTTGTATCAGTAATAATAGTTGAGGTGGTGAGAAGTGGTCATATTTTCCATAGATCTTGAAAAGGTACCTGAGAGGATTGTGTGATGATATAGAATTGGCATATGGGGTGGCAATGTTGGGGAAGGAATGAATGATTATTTCAAGATTTTTTGCCTGAGTTCCTAGAATTTACTGTCAGCGGAGAGGATTCAAGTAGAGCCAGTCAGATAGAGTGTGAAAATTAAAAGTTCACTCTTATAATGCCATGTTTGAGATTTTTATTGGTCATCCAGGTGGAGATGTCCAATAGCCAACTGGACTTAGGATCTGAAGTGAGAAGGGAAGCTTGCACTGCAGATACAATATATTAGGATACCCCCACGAACCCGAAGTAGCCGATATTGAGAGGTTAGAAAAAGGAGGAGATGACTAGGGCCTGGCCAATGAAATACAAGAATAATGAAGAATGCCTGATGACCTGCAACTTAGTAAGCAATAATTAGTACTGTCAAATATTGCTGACAGATCATATAAGATTATGACTTATAATTAACCATTATTATTTTTTTAATATCCAATAGCATTGACTTTTATTCATTCATGTTAAGTCACCTGAAATGATATCTGTTGCATTTAAATGCTCATTAATGGAAATGGCTGAACAAACCCATTTCAGTGGATATTCAATATCCCACATAGTTAAAAGTTACTCAACACAGCCTCATGACAACTGCCACACCAAAATAGTACTTCATTTTGTAAATTTAAACCCATTTTTATTCCCATGTTATGGTTTTTTAGCTTTCAAGTGTACAAGGTAAAGAAAAAAATTAGTTCAATGGCAGTTGCACCTGGAAAATAAATTTCCTAAACTCTATATACATGTTCGAAACTGCTGGGTCCCAAGTCCATCCATGAACTCCAGGGTTGCCAGTATCATGTGCAGCATATTAAAACTACATTATCCAAATAGTGTAGCTATTAATTCTGTAAATCAGGTCAATCAATGTGTCAACCTGTAACAGATTGTGCACTTTGTCTGAACATGGCAAAGTATTCACTCTTTTAAACTTTACATCATCATATGATGTCAAACAATGAAGCAAATCCCAACAGTATATACAAAAACAGTTTTGCATTTATAAAAGATTGTTTCCCGTACTAATTAATCCAGGCAGCTTACTCATTGGTTTATGCAACTTTATTGAAGAAAAAGAAATCAGTTACTAGTGGAGCTATTAGTTGATCACTCATCCATTGACAACTTGCACCATTTATTCTGTGCTATACTAAACAGTGTGTTGGAAGATAGATTAACTAATAGCTCCAAGCCTCCTAACAATTTAAATGAAAATTACAAAATGTTTGAGACCCTATTTTGGAATACAAAGGGTGTTTGACATCCAATTTCCATCCTCTGTAGAACAAGAACAGGTCATTCTTTTATTGACATGCATAAAATACATCACCTTTTCTGTTCTGCTGATGCTATAAATTCAATACCAGTTCTCCAGCCACATCAATTATGAGCATAAAGTATATCATGTGACTTCAGATCTCTAACAGTGGACGGCTTAAACAAGAATGGACGCTGCTAGAACAGTGCTGCTTCTTTTGATACAACAACCGAGTACCTCTCTCCCTCCCCCTTGGATGATTGCTTCAGCATGTTAGAGCAGCGAGGAATGGTTTTAGTCTCATGACCAAGGTAGAGTGAAGACATTGGCCACAAAATACACATGCTCTGTTTTTTTAAAAAAAATTCTGAATCTTGGGCAAGTGTTCTCTTGTGACTACTTTACAGTTTCTAAAAGCAGTTACTGTCCAAAGCTGGAAGAACTTAAGTCTTCTCAAATGAGCACGTGAATGAATGGATGGAGGTAAACAAAAAATAAAATTAAAAAAGATGAGGCCTGATAGGGGACCAGCAGGATAAGAAAATCAAAAAAGGAACAGTAATTTAAAGTTTATTCCAGCTATAATGCAGGTTATTTTGACTTTAAGGTAGCATCACATGGCATACTTCTGAGTCCATTCCCGAGATACTCTGTTGTACTCATCTCTCTCTGTTTTATAGATCTGTGCAATCTCTGGCACTAGGGGGTCATCTGGTTTGGATCACATAGCAGTGAACAAATGGATAAAAGAACTTTAGGGATAGTTAAAGCAGGAGACCGCTGTGATCTTAGAATATCGAGACAAATGCTGCCATTACTTTTAATATTTGGATGATAAATTCTTGTTGTAAATGCAACCTTAGGTGGTTTGAAGGAGTAGTCTGTAGGAAAATGAATTGTCAAAAAGAATACACCGCCTTGATAGGGGCTGTCGTTAGGTCTCATAATTGTGATTTGCCAATGAAACATATCCCCAGCTGGACCTGCAGAACATTGTGCTGGAGTGCTGTGGGCCAAATCACTAAGTTCCTTATTAATCCTTTTCAGCGCCATAGTCTCTGCTTTGTGTCTGGCTCCTCACTATCCCAGTCTGTGCTCAAAGGTCTGGCCAAAACTCTTGATTATCCTGGCGTCAGGGAAGGGTTGTCTCTTGGTCTCACACCGGCTCTGCCAGACACAAACGCTTAGTATTGAGGTGGTCTCGCGATAGCCTTGTGGCTGGCTTACAGGAGCTGTCTAATTAACCATTAGAATTAGTAGAATGACCTTCATAAAAGCAGCATGATGGAATCAGAGACCAAAGCCTGATTGGTGTGAGTGTGTGAAAGGATTGGAGGAGAGGATATGGGGACTATAAATATAGACAACTGTGTCAAGGAGAGCAAAGAAATGGGAGCATATCTGGTGGGACTGAAAAGCCCTTCATTAGAGGATGAAAAGTTTGTGGAGGGCCTAATAGGATCAGTCCATGTGGATTCAGGAGCCTTCTGTTCGGACTTGCTTTTATCATGAATTTGTATTTTCCTGTTGGTATGAGTAATTAAGTGTGGTAGCCTATCATATGTCTTTTAAATATCTGATTGGATTATACTCCTGCTTCAGTGATCATATAAGTTTTCCATTGCAGTTAAGAGAGAGCTTTAATGATGAGATGGATTTGATTTTTGACATAGTCATTTCAGCATTATGCTATTTCCAATATAGTTATAAGGTAAACAGTAAGTATTGTCTGTTATGTATGACCTCTAGCAGGAATTTGAATAATTTGTGTAGATTTTTAAAAGTGCCGTAGCTGTACACCAAACTCACTTTTTGAGTTGTTAATGACAGTGTTTTGTATCTGCATTTTTTCTCAGTTCAACCATACTGATTTTAAATGCCATACAATTTAAAGGTAGAAAATGATTTCAGTTCTCATTGTTTAATACAATAATATATTTTAGGTGGAGAAATGAAAGATCGATTTATATAAACTTATTTTTTCTCTTCAGTTTTGTCAAAGCAACATGCTTCACAAGTTCTGGTTAGGAAACGCCGTGCATATTCTTTCCTTGAAGAAACCCAAAAAGGTAATCTTGAAAGAGAGTGCATTGAAGAACTGTGCAATAAAGAAGAAGCCAGAGAGATCTTTGAAAATAACCCTGAAACGGTAAGAACTCATGAAAATTAATGTTAGCTTACCTAGGCATATAAACAGAACATTTCCAGCTTGAGTCTGCGTTCTATTCTGTTCCTTTGTAAAGTTAATGATTATGTATATATCAAGTTTCACATGTAACCACTAAGCATTTCAGAAAGAAGTACCTTCAAAGGAAGGTGGACTAGTTAGGAAAGTATTGCTAAAAGCAATGTGCTTTGACTAAAGTATAATTCAGTTGTATCCCATTATCAGCAAATAGTATCGACTTCATGGTTTGTAAATACTTTCATCCAACCAGAATTTGAGAGTATTAGGTGAAGAGGAAGTCACCGCAAGTATAATGCATGTGTGTGTGCACACAGAAGCATGTGATTGCATAGCTATCACTATACTTCATTAAATCTCTTCATTGGCCTTTTTAACCAGCCTTTAACATAAACCCGGTACATAATAGGTACTCAGTGAATGCTTATTGAAAAATTCATTCAGCACCCTGTTCCTTGAGTATATTTTAATTTATTCCATAAACCTTTGGGAAATTTCCTGAGCCATTTTATGTCATCAGTCATTCCTGGGGTTGGAGTTTACATCTTAGGGTATAAAAGTTTCCAAGTTAGTTTAGAAAAATCTAATCATAAACATCCCTAACGATCATAAAGAAATGTGACCTTACCTTTAGTCCTCTTATTTCCTAGGGAAGGATATTCTCTGACATATCCTGTGGGTAGCAGGAGTATAAATAGTGCCTCCAAGTATTCAAGTTTCATAACCTTTGCAGTTACCTCAGATTTTTTTTTTTCTGAGATGAATCAAAGGGAAATGAGGGTGCAAATGTATACAAAGTACCTCCTTTATCTCTGCTGTGGCTCTTGGGACCATGAAATTAGTTGAGAGATAACGAGCAAGAATCATCTCTATAGTTGGAGAACTTGTCCAAGACGGTAATACCGTGTGTTCTCTTCAGTTCTTTCACTTCCACCTACCCTAATGGATACCCAAAGATTCCGTTTTAATACTCTCTGGCATTGAATCAAAATGTTTCTCTCAATTTTGTTGCTTTTATGAATAAGCAATTGGCAAGACAAAAATATTTTTTTCTACACAATATACAGAGTATTCTAATTTTGTAGAAAACAGATACATGTACACATGTGTGCACATGCACATTTATTTTTATTATAGAAATTTAAATATATACCAAAAGGCAGTGAACAATATAATAAACCCCAGCATATGTTTCTCCCACTTCAACCAATGGTCAACAGTCTGCTGTAATTGTTTTGCCCGTTTTCTACTTTACCCACTCTAATTTTGTTTTGCTTTGCTGGAACATTTTAAAATAAGTGTGCATGCCTGGGATACCATATTATATCACACAGAAGTACTTGAGTATGTATTTGTAACACTGTAGATATGTTCTTATACTTTAGCATATGAGTGGCGAATGAGGAGGGAGGTCAAAGATGATAATGGAGAGAAGGGAAGATAGTGTAGAAGGGAAACCCATGAATGTGCTTCCTCTCCACTCATTCTGACACCAGTCTCATTGACAGAAGAGAAAGATACGGCAGAAAAAGGAAGAAATGGGAGAAATAAAAGAAAAAAAACATTTGTTATTGCTTCTCACTTGTATGCTGCCCGACGTCCCTGATACCCTAGTCTACATTGCCAGTCTCTGCCCTGTTGTTTACCTCCCTATTTTCCCTAATATATTCCTTTCACTCATCAATCACATAATCTCCTTTTGAACCCATCCATTGCCGCTTATCCTCATGAACTCTGTTCTGTAGAAGGTAACACCACTGTCTGAAGTACTTGGTGGGAGATTCCATCCTTATAAACTAGTAGCTAAATATTGTGTAGGTTTATATGCAAGAGGAGGAAACAGTGAGGACTTTGACTCTATACTGGATGAAGTTATGTTTTGTACTTAAGTACGTTTTTCTGTAGAAACACTGGTTGCTCATGAGGTGTTCTTGTGCTAGTGATGCATTCATGAGGTGTTCTTGTGCATTAGATATATTATGGTTTAAGAAGGCTTTTGAGAACCTGTCTGAGAACTTTACCATTGTAAATCATGTTTAACATTTTTCTTTCTCTGGTAAAGTGCATTCTTATTCCAAATTACTGATTTACAGGCAAACTTTTGGTACATAAACAATTAATACAAAAGACATTACTTGTACCTATGATGCTAAAAGATAAATGTCCCCTTTAGTTTACTTTGATGATGCCAGTGTTATCAACATTGAATCTGCTGTGTGTAATCAGCATGGCATGAAATGTGTCAAATGGGTATCTAATCATTATAGAAAAAATAAAGGATTTACAAAAGGAGGCATATATGATTACATTTAATAGCTTCAATAGAACCTGTTTTCAGATTAGAAGCTTTTTAAACATGATTTAATTGATCAATATAGCCTTAAGCCTAAGAATCTTATTACCTTAAAGTTATTAGTTATCTACTCCTCATATATTTTACTATAGAAAAAGATCTTATAATATGGAAATGACAGTTATATGTAGTTTATTTATATTTTTAGACTTGGGGTGGTGAACACACAATACTGTGTATAGATAATGTGTTGTGGAATTGTGCATGTGAAACTTGTATAATTTTGTTACCTAGTGTCACCCCCAATAAATTCAATAAAAATGAAAAAAATTTGCATCTTTAAAATAAAAACACATTTTAAAACTGTTTTAACTATGTAGTGAAATTATGTTTGCTGAGATAATTTTTTCACTTTTCTTTCTTTCTAGGAGTATTTTTATCCAAGATATTTAGGTAAGTTCAAAAGATTTCATTCATATAATCCTAGAAATGGAAGGGAACTTAGATATGATTAAGCCCAATCCTCTTCCTGTATATTTCATCCAGTACAGTTTAATTAGCCTTGGGAGTCAGATCCCATTCTATATGCAATATTGCTGTACTTCTTTTAAAATTACGTGGAAAAATTTCAAACGGTTCTTAGCATGTGGCATTTGACTTTTAGTCTCTCCAATTTCCTGTCTTTCTCATAGATCCACTAGGCTAATGATAAGTTATATTTAGGTGATGAGTTATCTTTTAATGAAAAGAAAGACCTCTGTACTCTCCAGAGCTTCTGGCATAAATAATTATTGAAATTATTAGAATTTCACACAATCCTGGACTCTCAAGGAGTGAGGTGTTCTTTCCATACCCAAATAGATGAAATAATTTCAACTAAATATCAATTAAAGATAACAAGGTTTTGGTTTGCTTTAAGCATATATAAAAACATTTTGTATTAATATTACATGGGATAGTTGTCAGCACTCTCAGTAATAAAGGTTGAGTAGAACTTGCTCACCTCTTTCTGATGGGATCACTTGTAGGTTCAGCCCACAAAGGTGTGCTCTCCATCCTTTAGGCTCAGAATATTCCCCATCTGTGCATTTTTCCACCCCACTCTCATTCCAGCACACTTGAGCTGCAAGCCCTTTAGAAATGAACAGTTAATCATCCTTGGAAGAAAAGTAGATAGGTACTCTGACATACATTAATTACTATGCAGCTTAAAATTTATTAATATAATTTTGCAAATAACTTTCTATTAAACTCTTATTTCTCTTGAAATTTGAGGGTTGAATTACAGTTTAAGGTTTTACTTTTCATTTGCTTTTGTTTTGTTTCTGAATACCCATGTAAAGATTCCAGAGACCGTCTTTAGATTGGGTATATCTCTTCCTCTCCAGCTTTCCTAGGGAGACTTCCATTGAAACGATGGTATGTATTTATATTTACCCTTTAGAACAATCAGCAAATAAGAGCCTAAGACCACTGTGTAGAAGACCCTTTTAGAGCCAAGTACTCTTTTTCATAGTCCTGAAGTAGTTTTCTTTCATTTTTGAGTGTCTGTGATTGTCTGAATCTTGTTTGTGTGGCACATCGTGAGCCGAGGAGACTCAACAATAGATCCTACATTTCATTCCACCCTCTTGTCAACTGCAGGACCTCCGTTCAGTGGTATCTCCCTTTAGAACTGCATGGCAGGACCCATTTCTGTTCAATGGGCTGCTAGGTATTTTCCAGTTGACTTATTAAAATTCTTTTTATGATTTCCAGTCCAACATCTCTCCTGCAAGATCTTCAAGTTATGATAATCTTTGTTTTTCTATGACTTCTGTATTTCCATTTTATTCTTCCCGTCACGTCCTTTTTCTAGCCCCTGATAACAGACTTAAATTGAACTTGGAAAGGGGACACTATAAAAATTGTGTAGTGATAAATTTGTTTCTGGATATGAAGATGCAGTTAGATTTTCTGAAACCTTTATTTGCTACATCTTAAAAGAACAATGGGATATAGATACATATAGATACACATCCTTGAAAAACATCTTTTCTTTTGTAAAGCAATACAGGACTCACTTTATCAAGCAAAAACTACAGGTTTGTACTGTTAAAGTGGAGAAAAGAGAATAATAAGACTATTTAAGCTTCTCAATTTTAGGTAAAAATTCAAATATTTTATCCTAAAGCAGACAATATTTGGCTATTAAAAATTACAAGCTTGCTTTAAAAAACATAGTATTAATCCCCATTTCTTAGGTACTTGTATTTAGACTGTTTCTGTAGGTGTTAACACAGTAGAAAATACATACCTTTGATTACAGAGTATATTTGGATAAAGATAAATAACACTTCAATACAACATTATGTGTTTTGGAGGAGTACCTTAGATAAAATATTTTTTCTTTTTTCTCCTTTTATCCCTCTCAACTTCCCCTTTGTTGGTTCCACCTAACTTTTTCTTCTCTTTGCCTGTCTTATTTTGGCAGCATAGTAGAAAAGCTAATTATCAAATAAGTAAGTAAGTCAATAAGATATAGGCTCTAGTCCCAGTCATAAAAATTTCTGTGGTGTCAGGTTATGCAAGTTATTTAACTTTTCAGGTCCAGTAGGTAAATATACGCTATATTTTCTAACTCCAGAGCTATTGGGGAATACCAAGTAAGTATTTATGGAGATACACTTTTTATTGGGTCAACCTTTCTTTAAATGTAAAATATTATTATTTAAGCAACCCATATATGAAACAAAAATTACTTTTGTTATGGTGTTTTTTTAATTCAAATTTTATATTTTGGACCTTATGCACAGGCATATGTGATAAATTCCACTGTTGAAAACAGAAAAGAAATGCTCTTAGTTTACCTTTTCTGTCATTTGATGTATATATTCTGTAGGCCAGATTTTCCTGCTTGATAGAAACCTTTCTAATTCTGTCCCTGGTAAACCTAACAGTAATTTTACTAATTACCCCAGGCCATGCATAAGCACCGTACAGTGAGATAAGAACACCCAAGAGATTTGACCACTGTATAGTAACCCATAGCTATTGGACAGTGCTTAGATTTAGAGTTTGAGGGATTCAGAAAGCACATCGATCTATCCACATCTTCCATTACTGCATTGAAAATGGATTTTTGGACAGAGGTACTCAGGGTTTTTAAGTCGTGCTCTCTTCCTTAGAAAATAGAATAAATAACTCTACCATCTATATTGACCTTTAAAATATCACTTGATAGAGTGAAGGATTCTATTAATGGGAGAGAAACTTGGGAAGAATCCTAAATTAGGAGCCTAAATATAAACATTAGAAGTAATTTTTAATTTCTAGTTCTTGCCAAGTTGGTGAATTAGCCCAGACTGCTGATTTCTCCTAAAATCATCTCAAGAGAAACAGTAGCATTCTAGGCACTAATACCAACAAAACAAAACAACAACAACAAAAAAAACAGAACAAGAAATATGAGAAACTGATGGGTAGACCAAAGGCTGGCTTGATCGAGTATGTGCATGTGGACCTTGGAGCGCTCACTGCGGAGGCAGCATCCAGAGGATGGATTGGAGTTACACAAAAAATGATCTAACCATCCAACCAAGAAAAAAAAAATCATTTAAAAATAAACCCTGTGTAACAAGAATAAGGAAATAACAAAAATAGGAATAGAAATAAGTTAAATGGGAAACAAAAGAGAGATTAACAAAAGCAAAATCTCATTCTTTGAAAAGTGTAATAAGTTAGACTGACCTCTGGCAAGAATAATCAAGGAAAAAGAAAAAAAAAGGAAAGAAGGAATGACAGAACAAAGTGTAGGATAAAAATGGGAAATACTGTAAACCCCCAACACAGATAAGATCTGTGATCATTAAGATCATCATATTGATAAAATAAAAATATCACAAGATATTACAAATAACTATAAAATATATTTAGAAACTGGATAAAATGGGTACATTCCTAGAAAAATGTAAAACATCTATAATTTTACAGGAAGAAATGGAGAACTTGGTTATACGGTACTAAGTAAGCTAAAACCCCAAAGCTCTCTCTTCTGTAATCCTGCATATCCAGACCCAGATGTTTTTTAGGTGAGTTCCTCTACACTTAAAGAAATTATTGAAGCTTTTCTTATAAAATTATCCTAGAAAATAGAAAAAAGATCTATGCTGTGAGCTTATTTGAAAAGACTGGTGTAATTTTGATTCCCAAACCAGATAAGGACAACATAAAAAATACAAATATTTCTTTTCATTTACAATTTAATTCTAGATAAAATGATACCCAATCTAATGTAAAGTATATTAAAAATAATGTCATAGTAAAGTAAGTTTTATTCCAAAAACTCAAGGATGGTTTAACATCAGAAAATCTGTTAATGTAATTCTCTACATAAATAGTTTATTATTTCCTCAGTTCCTATAGAAAAAACAGTTGATAAAGTTTAACACTTAATTATGGTGAAAAAAACTTTTACCAAACTATGATTATGGAAACAGTTTCTGAACTTGATAAACGTTATATACAGTAACCATGTAATTTATCTTCCAGATTTTTATATTTTGCTCAGGACTAATCCTACAGTAGATAAATGTCATGTGAAAAAGGAAAAAATAGGATTCTCTTGGATAAATTGGCATGTATGGTTATGCTAATGCTATATACACACAACCTGAGAAAAAGAAAGAATGGGAGGAAAGAAGGGAGAAGGAAGGAAAGAAGGAAGGAAGGGGAATAGAAGGATGGAAGGGAGGGAGGGGAGGAAGGATGGAAGGAAAAAAGGAAAGGGAAGGAAGGAAGGAAAAAAGGAAGGAAAGAAGGAGAAAGGAAAGGAAGGAAGAAAAAAAGAATAAAACCTACAGTAAACATTATACTTAATGGATAAACTTTAGGTAGGTAGTCTCTTTTTGATTGAGTGCAAGAATAGAAGCACTTCAGGTTACAGATAATCCAATAAGGAGAGAAAAATAAGAATTATGTAGATCATGAGACGAAATATGTTTATCATTATGTATTTGTAAATGATATGATGATATACCTAGAAAAAAACAGTATCCATAAACAAAACATTAGAACACATAAGAGATATTAGATTTCTCTAAGTCTGCCCTCCAAAAAAAATCAGTTGTAGTTCTTTACACAGTAGCCCACTAGAAAATAAAAAGTTGATACCATTTACAACAGTAGCACATCCCATAGAATATGAAGAAATATCATAAGAATATATGAAAACTCTGTCAAACTAAGGATATAGAAAATGAACTGAAATCATAGAAGTATATTTCATGCTTTTGAATTGAGTGATGCCATAAAGATATCAAGTAACTTGTATATTTGGAGCAATCCTTTTTAAAATTCCAGCTGGATTTTTTAAAGGAATTCTGTAGAATTTAAATCAGGGAATAAAAGTCTACACATGCCTAAATTAACCTTAAAATTTCAGAGGAGGGAACACCTTATCAAATAATAATATA